GCAGTCCCCGTGCTTTGCTTAGCTTAACTTGTTCTAAGTAGGTGCTTTAGACCACTGAGCCATCTCACCAGCCCAATTTTTGGTATTGAGGCTTGAACCCAGGACCTTGTGCACACTAAGCTACCACTGAGCTACACACCCAGACCTAATTTTTGCTTCTTTATACCTTTAAATGCTTTCAGTTAAACATATTTTACTTAACAATACAGTATCATTTCTAATTATTCTAACAGAGCATGCATAAAATTATATACAAATTATATCTCGTATCTCACTATTTTTTATTAGTACAGTACATGTTTGCAGTACACAGTATTTCATTCCTGTGTGGGGCAGGTACACAACACATCTTTTTTTAAATGTTTTTGGCACATGGTCTCACTATGCAGCTCCAACTTCCTAGGGCTGGGATTACAGATGTTCACCACCACGCCCAATCTCAGTGGCCAGCGCAGTGTGCCTGGGGGTAGGGCTGGGTCCAGTACAGATATCAAAACCCAGTCCCTGCGCTTGCCTAAGCAGGACACCTAGTCTCTTGAGCTATCTTGCCGGCCCTACACAACAAAACTCCTTTTTTCCATTCCCTTTGTTCAAAGCCTAATGCTCCACTTTTAATCCTTTTCCCATTTTGGGGAAGATCTACTGCCTAACTTCTTATCTAGCTTTTATTCTACTGTCTATAATTTGGGTTTCTCATGTAAAGTAAATCATGTGGTATTTAAGTTTATTTCATTCCAATTATGATGCAGCTGTTTTCCTACAAATCTATTTGCCTACAAATAACTCAAGTTTACTTTCTTCATAGCAGAATAATGTTCCTCTGTGTATAAATACACCACCTTTATCTATTCCTCTGCTGATGGACATACAGGCTGCTTCTAAGATTTAGCTACTCTGAATTGTGCTGCTATGAACGTGAGTATGCTTGTATCCCTGTAATATGATGGCTTTAGCTCTGGAAAATACCTAGAAGTTCGGGAATAGCTGGGTCAAACTAAATTTCTACTTTCAGTTTTTTGCAAAATCTCTGTAACTGATTTATAAAGTGGCTGTACTAGTTTATACTCCTACCAATAGAACAGGAGCTTTCCCTCCTGCATCCTCGCCAGCATTTGCTAGTTTGACTTTCAGATGACTGCAATGCTTTTTGGGGTAAAATGGAAACTCAGCGCTGTTTCAATGTGCACTTCTCCATGGCCAGTGATGCAGGGTATTTCTTCTGTGAAGTGTCCATTCATTTCACTTGCCCATTTTTGACTGCGTCTTTATTTTGGAGGCATCTAATTTTTTTTTATATATTCTAGAGATTAGCTCTCTGAATAACTAACAAAAACTTTTTTCCCATTCTGTAAGCTGTCTTTTCATTTCTTTTGTTGTGCAGAAGCTCTTTAATTTTTTTATGTATTTAGTACAAGGTCTACAGGGTCTCACTACACAGATCAGACTTGTGGTGATCCTCCTGTTTTCAGCCTCAGAAGTGCTTGGATTTCAGGCCTGCGCCACCACGCCGTCTCAGTTGCTGCCTCAGCGTGCCAGAACAGCATGCTGGGGGTCTAGCCCCAGTCCCTATGCTCTGCCTAAGCAGGTGCTTTACTCTGCTGAGCTATCTGGCCAGCTTAGAAGCTCCTTTATATTATCCCATTTCTTGGTACTATTTCCTGTGTAACCAGGTTGTTTTTTGAGAAAAGTTCTCACTGTGTAGTTCAGGCTGGCTTTGAACTCATACATGGTCCAGGCTGGCCTTGTGGCAATCTTGTCTGTCTCCTATGTGCTGGGATTACAGCTATGTGCTGCCATGCCCAGCCTCAGCCAGGCTTTTTCTTAACCCTCTCGTCCCCCAAGTACTGGAAACTACTGCAGACTGAATGAACTCAGGCCCTTTATACTGATCTAGGAGTTCACATCCATCCTGGTTTTTGAGTCTTGTCAAGTTGTGCAGGCAGGGCTTGACTTTTGATCCTCCAGGCCCTGCCATCCCAACTTCGGGGATTAAAGGTGCATGACACCACACCCAGCCTGTCCTACTAACAATATTCAGGCATTCTGAATTCATAGGAAACCTGACCAAGGCATACAGTCATCTGTACTTCTGGAATAGGGTAGTACAAAATTTGTGACTATGAACAAAATTTCTGACTCACGATCATCATCTTATTAAAAGAAATCAGGGTATATTAGTGGTATATTTCTTAAATGTTTAAGTACTTTAAAAATGGAATTCCAGCCCAAAAATACATATACACAAATACACCTTCATGTCCACTAGTGTATATGCATATAGAAAGATGCAAAGCTAGCTGCAAAGGCCAGTGCTCTGGGCACACTGGGCAAGTACTCTGCTATTGAGTATAGCTGCCCCCCTTTTCCATTTTATTTTGAAGCAGGCTCAAAGCTAAGGCCTTAACCTTATAATCCTCCTGCCTCAGCTTCCCACTCATTTGCCTTTAAACACAATTCTTATTAGGGTTCATTAAAAATAATAGTGACCTAAATGATTTCAATATTAAATGTCATCTGATTGCTTCTCTACATGCTAAATTAAAAACAAAAGTGAAATAATACAATTTAATTGTAATTTTTTTTTCAAATCTGAAGTAGCTTATTTCAGAAGTAAGCTGGGAGATGAGTAGTTAGCTGAGGTTTCTCAATTCCATTAGTCACAGTTATTCACTGTTACCTACAACCAGCCTTCAAGATCACCCCAGAGGAAAGATGAGTGAACAAGGCAGCATCTGCATACTGGTAAGAAGTGAAAATAGAAGTAAGAGGAAGAAGCAAGGTCAGTATTATCTGAATGGTTGAACGATGGAAGGAAATGTCATCATTGAGACATAATGAACTGACAGCAGGGACCCATGAATACATCCCTAAAAAGAGTGAAAGCAGCACCTCAAACAGGTGCCTTCCCATGACAGGCACAATTCACCATATCAGGCTTTCTGACAAAAGCAACAGGCACAGGTTGGAAGTTAGTACTCTACCTTAAAAGCTATTAAGAAATCTAAGTGTTGAAGGAATGACAGGGAAGAAATACACAAGTACAAAACTAAGGTCATTTCAAAAGAAAAACAATCGGAATCTGGGAATGGCTGTGAGAAGAAGAAAAGCAGGCCCTGAACGGCAGGGGCTGAGCTGGGCCTATCTGCTAGGCCCTGGTGTTCTCCCACTAAACACCAACAGTTTCACAGAACACCATTCTGACCATAATTTAGCATACCACAGATAATTTTTACGCTGCCTCTTAGTACTTTTTAACACAGATGGTTACAAATACTTATAGACACGATTTGTAGGGCTGCCAATTGTACAAAACTCTACCCTCATAATTCCTACTAGCATTTAAAGAATTTAAGAGCAAATTTCACTTATTTTCTTTATAAACTTCACTTTCCTCAATTTTTTAAACACAAAAATATATGCCTTTCCAAAAAATCTACAATACACAAACATATAGAAAGTGCAACCTAGTCTCCAACAAATGTAATGCTATACCAACTTTTTTTTTTTTTTAAGGTATTTGATTGTTGCAAGGTCTCACTATGCGGCTCCAACTCATGGTGATCCTCCTGCCTTCAGCTCCCAGGCTCTCAATTACAGGCATGTAGTACCACGACTGAACCAAGGTCCTTGTGCTTTTGCCTGAACTTGCCAAAGCTGGTGCTTTAGTCCACTGAGCTATCTCACTGGCCCCCAAATACCAACTTAAGCAGTTGTGGGGCTTTTTATTTTTATAATTATTATTTTATTTAATGGTACTGGGGCTAGAACTCTGGAGCTTGCACTTACAAAGTGCCTTTGTCACTGAGCTATCTCCCCAGCCTACCCACATTTTGATGATTATCATTCTAGATGACTTTCAATGCTACTGCGTAAGCAGATTTTTTTTGTCCCTCATTGCTTTTAACACGGTAATTCATTTTTAACTGACATCTAAGTACACAATTCACCACATGTGTCCCCAGACCTTGCCTTCATTACTTTTATTTGCAGTATTCAGGACTGAGCGCAGGGAATGCCGAGCTACAGTCCTAGCCCCCCTTTTTCTTTGATACAGGGTCTAAGTGGCCTAAACTGGCCTTGAACTTGCAATCCTCCTGCCTGAGCCTCTCAGATTGTAACAGGTGTGTGTCAGGATGCGCAGCCTTGCCCCCATTATTTCTACATCAGCACACACAACAGAATATAGCCATGAACTGAGACCTGTTCATAGTCATGAGGTTATCTGCCAGTATGACTGCACACAATGCTGCTGTCTTACCTGCTCCAACATCGTAGCCATCGCCACAGACTTGCTCCTGAATAGGAGGCTCAAGACTACCACATGGCTCACTGGGCTGCGGGCTCTCCAGGAAACTCTGCTCTCGGCTTACTGACACTCTCAAGGGATCTCTGTCTAGACATAACTCTGGTTTACCTGAAAAGAAAAGAAACTCTGACTCATTAGATTTCCTTTTAAGTTCCTAGGTCTGGTTAAAACTAAAACGGCAATTTATATTACAGATACAAACCTAAACCACAGTCTGGGGAGATGGCTCAGTGGAATATGCACTTCCCTAGCAAGCACAAGGGCCTGAGTTCACATCCCCGGTTCCACCGAAAACCCAAAAACCCAAAAAAACCCAAACCATTATAATAACTCCTTTCTTTTATGTATTTAGTACAAAGACTATAGGGTCTCACTATACAGATCTGACTCATAGTGATCCTCCTGTTTTCAACCTCCCAAGCACTGGGATTACAGGCATGCGCCACCATGCCCAGTCTCTATCGCTGTCTCAGTGCACTCCAGGGGTGGAGCTGACACGGCATGCCAGGGATCAAACCCCGGTCCCTGCGTCTGCCTAAGCAGGTGCTTCAGTCAGCCAAGCTATCTGGCCAGCCCTTGTTTATTTGTTTTCTTAATGTATGGTTTCGCCATGTAGTCCAGGGTGACCTTGACCTCACTATGAAGCCCAGGCTGGCCTCAGACTTGATGCAATCCTCCTGCCTCAGCCTCCTGAGGGCTGGGATTATGGGCATGCACTACTACTCTGGCAGCCCCAATTTTAAGCAGTGTTACGTGAGCTAGTTTTTTCTGTTCACAAGTACTCCAAGTCTAAGTCTGACAAATTTTGGCATCCTGAAAATATATACAAAATTGGCAAACTACTAAACTACCTTTTATTGTATCAAATTATGTACCTGGTATGGAAGTTCTGCCACTTGCTGGTGATTCTTCTTCTTGTATGGCACTAAGTTCATGTTGATTTAAATCCAATCCCTGTTTAACTTTTGCCACAGGTGGCTTGGAGGCTCTTTCACCTGGTTCTTTGTGCAGAGGCTCACCTATCAAGTCAAAACTAACAGTAAAACTGAATGAAAATTACAATGAGAAACTACAATTAAAACTAACATTCTTTGACTAGGAAGCTACCAGAGATAAAAGTAGAAAAGAATCAGTTAAGTAATTCCAGTAAGATACAATCATCTTACCGGTTTTCTTGGAACTGACATCTTCTAAAAGCAGCTGGCTATCACCAGAGTTGCTCCTATCCACATGAGCAGTACTTTCCAGATCGCCGCTTGCTAGGTCTTCCATGTGAGGAGGCCGCTCTCTGAACTCTTCCACCTTCTGCACTTTAAAAAAATCATTCTGACCTGTAAGTTTGCTTGCCTGAAAAAGTAGACAGATAAAGGTGGGGATGACACAAATTGGGGGATTATGTAATATAACCTTAATCAAATAAAGTTTTATCACTCACAGTATAGTTTAGTACAAAATGAAATGCTTTCAATACTGAAAGGGTGATATTTCCATGAAAAAGTACAACCTAAACCTAAAAACTAAGCCTTCAACTCTATCTTTCAATAAGAGATTATTCTCTTCTATTACTTTTCCTTCAAATGACCAGAAAATCCTTTGGACTTAACTTTGACTGGACTCAATTCAAGCTTCTTTTGAACACCAAGGATTTATAGAATTGTTTACATTAAGTAACAACTTGTGATCTTCTAAAATAAAATGGACCTATTTATATTTAGAACACTTGCCTTGTATGTGGAGAAACTAAGAATGTGAGTGACTGTACCAGTGTTTGCAACAATTCGGATGCAAGCACAAGTTCAGGTCTTCATCAGCCTAAAATCATGCCAGCTGTACAACAGGAAATAACGTCACTTAAAGACAAAGATGGTACCATCCCAGTTCATATATAAGGTCAATAAAGAGCACAAGATCTGCTACTGTAGAAGGAAAATTCTCTTGAACCAGGTTCCGCCCCGCCCTTTTTTTGCTTATCTTTGAGCTAGTCTTACTGTGCAGCCCAGGCTGGTCTCCAACTCATGATCCTCACACCTCAGCCTCCCAAATACTGGGGATATGGGGTCTACTACCACACCCAGACTGACTAGTTTTTACAATTTTAATGTATGATACACGTAAAGCCTATTATAGGAGGACTTTTAAATGAAAATCTATGTTCTTTTTTGGTATTTACACTTAAAATTAGTTGGGCTTCAAATATATCAGTGTCATAGTCAACATGTCAGGTATGGCAATTTTTTTTTAATAAAGTGGGGACTGCATACATACAGTACCACTGAGCTATACCTGTCCCTAGCCTTATTTGTTGAGGGTCTCAGTATGTAGTTCAGACTGGTCATAAACTATGTAACCTAGGCTTTGAACTTACAATAATCTTCCTGCCTCAGCTACCCAAGTACTGGGATTGCAAATGTGTGCCATCATGCCCAGTCAGCCTTGTTTTTTGAGACAGGGTTTCACTGAATTGCTCAAGCTGACCTTGAACTTGTGGTTCTCCCACTTCAGCCCAAGTTGTTGCTGTCACCACGATCAACACAACTATTTTAATTTTTACATAGTTTGTGGTAAAAAATTAAAGTACATTTAATATCAAACCACTTAACGCTTTAGTTTTAGGACTAAAACTGAAGTCAGGTTTAAGCCTCCACTGTTTAATCTTTATGTATTTAAGGTTAAATTATACCTGGCTGTCTTTAATGAAATCCTTCAATGTCTCTTGATGTCTTTGGATATGCTGCTGCAATGCTGTTCTCCTCTGTATTAGCAACTTTTCCTGTGCTTTTTGGTTATGTAGAACTTCCCTTTGTAGGTCCATCTCTTTGCAAGGACTTGCATTATCTTGCTGAGCTAAAATAGGCTGTGAGTAGCTCAAAAGTCTATCTTCAAACCTTGGGATGGTAGAATCACTTGAGGTAGTAGCACGCTCCCTTTCAGATTTATAAAATGTACAAATGCTTGGAGATTTAGCTTCTGCAAAAGGTAGTGGAATGAATGAATGCTCTGCTTCCTTGGATAGAAACAAAGAGGGGATGGCATGTTCAGCAGATTCACTTTGGCCTAACTTACTCGGCCTATTTAGCAGTTCTTCCTGACATTTATCTATAGACTGTATCATTTCCCTGTCTAATTCCAACTGTGTTGTCTCAGCATCATTTTTGGTTAGGAACGACCTTCCAATTGTTTCAGAATGGGCAGCAGGCAGTGCAATTTGGGATGAAAGTGAAGAGGAACTAATCTGCTCAGATGACACCCTTTGTTCCAACTGATTTAATCTTTGCAAAAGCAGTTCCTCTTGAACTTCCTGTTCAGATCGAATGGCTTTCTTCTGTATATCTAACTGCTGCTGAAGTGCCTTCAAATCACCATGGTGAGGCTGGATAACATGCTCAGGACGCACCTTTTCTTCAAATTTGCATTGTCTGGACAACATTAATTCTTCCTGGGTTTTCTCAATAGAGGGAAAGGAATTTGTCTGTGTATGTATATGTTCTTGAAGTGTAATCAAATTATTCTGCTGAAGTCTAGGATGTGATAAATTCAACAGCCTATCAGGGAATCTCTGTATTTCAGAATGATCTGAGATTGTGTTATCACTATCAGCTGACCAAAGTTCTTGGGTTCGTTCAGATTCAGTAGGAGGTAATGAAGCAAACGAACGTTGTGCTAAGGGTGAGAAAGTAACCTGCTCAGATTTTTTTCCCCTCCACCCATCCTGCTTAAGTAAACGTATTTTTTCCTGAGCTTCCTGTCTAGACTGAATGATGGCTTCCCTCTGCATAGCTAGCTTTTCTTGAAGTGCCTTCAACTTATCTTGTTGGGGCTGGATAAGCTGTGACATCTTCAAAAGCCTATCCTGCAATTCTGGGATCTGATGATGACTTGAAAGAATTTTACTATCACTCTCTGTTGAAAGAGGTTCCTGGGTTGTACTAGAGCCAACAGAAAGTAATGAAGTAAACGACAGTTGTCTTAGTTGGGGTTCAGAAGAAATCAGTTGTTCCAATTCACTTTGTTTACATACTAACTCCTGATTTTCTTGTCTAGCACCAAGTATTACTCTGTGTATGTGTGACTGCTCTTGGAGTGCTGTCATACTTTCTTGTTGAGGGAGGTTAAGCTGTGAGACATTAAGAGACTTATCTTGGAATGGCAGAATTATACTCTCCTCAGATGAAAAAAGTTTCTGAAATCTTTTGGGTTCAACATTAGCAGAATTTTGTAAGGCATCTAAATGTGGAATAACCATTTGGAGGGATGAAGAACTCATCTGGCCAGGCAAATTGTCCTCCAAATTCTTTTGACCATGTGACAGTAATTCCACTTGTGACTCACATCTACCAGGCACAGTATCCCTCAGTGGAGTCACTAGTTCTTGGAGCGGCTTCACCTTACCACGAGGTAGAAATTGCTGTAGGAAATCTGATGTTCCATCCTGAGAATCTGGGATTTCAGGGTCACTTGAAAGAAGCTCTTTTTCACTGTTGGATAAATGCTGTTCCTGGATTTGTTCAGATTTTCTGTTAGGAAAAGCTAGTGAAGTAAATGTATGATGAGCTACCTGATATGGCAAAGAAGGCTCAGCCTGTTCAGAACGTATTCGTCCATCCACTTCACCCTGTTTATGTACAAGTAAGACTTCCTGAGCTTCTCGCCTAGCCTGAAGATGATCTCTTCGAATACTTAACTGTTCTTGGAGAAATTTTAAATTATTCTGTTGTGATATGATAGGCTGTGAAAAACTTAAAAGACTATCCTGAAGGTGTGGGACCACAGGATGTCCTGAGAAAACTGAGGGAGTATTCTTGGTTGGACAAGGTTCCTGGACTCTCCCAGACTCAGCTTTTGCAGAAGGCAGTGAAACAAATGAATCTGGTGCAGCCACTGGGAAGAATACTGAGAGACCAGTCTTCTCTTCTAATTCCTTCTGCTTGAGCAAAAGAAATTGTTCCTGAGCTTCCTGTCTTGCCTGAAGGACTTCCTTCTGTAGTTCTAACTGTTCTTGAAGAAGCTTCAGATTATCTTTCTGGGCTGTGATAGTGTCGGAGGATGGAAAAGGTAGATCATGCATCTGGCTGCCTGTAGAATGGCTTACAGAAACTGTACTTTTATGCATGGTTGAAAAGGGTTCTTGAATTTTTTCAGTCTCAACTTTACTAGGGAGAATAGAAAAAGAATGCTCAGGTACCAGTGGCAGGAATAAAGGTTCGGTTAGTTTCAGAGATATACTTTCACTGTCCTCTGCCATGACTTGGGAGGAATCCATAGCTTGAGAAATTGTTGGCCTCAGTGTTCCAGATATTTTTGTAGTTTCCTGTAATGGTAGCTGTCTACCATGTGATAAAGCACTTGAAAGTACATGTAAACCTTTAGGGATTAATTTGTAGTCTCTCTTTTGTGTTTCAATCTGAGAGAATTGCCTTAAGTGTTTCTGTGATTCCAAAGACTGCTTGTCTAAAAAATCTGAAGTGCTAGATGTTTCTATCTGTGGAAACTGTCTTTGTCCTGGAACATGAATACAGTCTTGCTTTAATTTTGAGATCTGCATGGGTTGATATTTGTTAAGATCTGACTTAAATCTCTGACTTTGATCCCAATGTTGTGACACAACAGTGGATTTTTCAGATTTCTGTGGTGGTAGTGTTATAATGGAATCAGATATCAATGACGTCGCTGATGTTGATGGGTACCTTCCTTTTAACATCATCTGATATTCAAGTAATCGTCTCCTGGCTGTTGCAACAGATTGCTCGTGTAACCTACCAAGAAAAAACACAGCAAATGAAAAATGACCCAACTATCAAGTATATATTAAATTTAGAAATCTATATAAGCCAAATAAGAAATCCAAAAGACATACCATACACTGTTACATGGAAATTATACCCTAGACATTACCTGTTTTGTTGTAGAAGCCGCTGTTGGTAGTTACGAATCACCTGCCTATGACTATCTTCATCAGAAAGTAATGCAGCAGTGTCCATCTGATAAAAGACAAAACTACTCATTAAAAGGCAAGTTCAGAACAAGTACTAAAGTGTTCTGTGTAAACTTAACTTCCACTATCATAAATATTTCCCATCCAAGTACTAACCAAGTATGACCCTGCTTAGCTTCGAAATCAGATGAGACTGGGTGCCTTCAGGGTGGTATGGCCATAACTGTAAGTGTAAATTACTGAACAGCTTTATTTATTCATTCTTTTTTTTTTTTTAAATTTTATTTATTTATGTGTGTGTGTGTGTGGCCAGCTCAGCCCACCAGGGGGCGGGGCTGGCTGGCATGTGGTGCTGGGGGATGGAACCGCGGTCCCTGGGCTCTGCTAAGCTTGTTCTAAGTAGGTGCTTTAGACCACTGAGCCATCTCACCAGCCCCTATTTATTCATTCTTACAGTACTGGAGACAGAACTCAGAGCCTTCCTACTATGCTACATCCCCAGACAGTTTTTGAAAAACTTTAGAGACAGAGCCTCACTAAGCCATAAAGTTACCCGAGCTGGGCTCAAAAACTTGCATTCTCATCCTTCAGCCTGCAAGAGGGCTGGGATTACAGACCCGCACCACCACATGTCACATCAATAGCACAGTCTATTTCCATCAGTAGCACATTTATATTACCATTCTATGGACACTCAAAGAAAAAAAAACATTAAGCTGATAAAAAATTATATATACATTAAATGATCAAAAAAAATAGACATTTTATTTTTCTAAGCTCTATGGCTGCTCCTATTTCTGTCTAACGATTCACACAGCTTTCATGTATCATACCCCAGTTGGTTGAGTTTTTTTTCTTTTTTCTTCTTCCAGCTGAGCTCTGAAGCAATCAGTTTCTAATCTTAATTTCTGTTGTTCAATTTGTTCCAGTAATTCCAACTGCTTTTGCTTCTGCTCTTCTATTTCCATTATCTAGATGGCAAAAATACTATCAATCTATTTACAACAAGCTCATAAAAACATAAAAAGTAATTGTTTTATCACAAAAAGCACAGATTAACCATGATGATCCATGAAGGGACATCTGTGTTACCAGCAATGCCAGAAGGAAGGGCCTTCCCACTAAACTACATCCCCAGCCTGTTTGTGCACACTTCACTTCCACACTGTACATTTCTCCCACCCATACACTTGATCATAACAAAGGAGAAAAAGAGAAGAGGGAGGAAAAAACAGAAAGGGAGGAAGTGTAAAGCAGCAGTAAGAAAAAAAGAACAAATACATATATCTTTTGGGAGCATAAGGAAATCTTGAGTACCACAGAAGAACCACTCCCAGAGAAGCAGCAAATGGCACGCAGCTAAATTCTATGTTCACGTCTTTAATTTTCCATTGTTCTTAGTGTCAACCATGACAAAAGAAATTAAATACAGAGGCCCCCAAAACACTTTGATTTCTTAGGGACACCCTTAAAAAAAATAGGTACCTATTTTTTGTTTTCCTTCTTGAGGCAGGATCAGGGGGCCGGGAAGATGGCTCAGTGAAGCAGGATTTCACTATACAGTTTAGGCTAGTCTTGACCTATGTAGCTCAGGCTGGCCTTGAACTCTCAGCGATTCTTTTGCCTCAGCCTTCTCAGTGCTAGGATTATTCATGTGCCACTTGCCCAGCAACTCAGTAGTTATCTAGTTTTGTGGCCTACCAAATAGAGTATCTAGTACACCTAGTACAGGCCCTCATACAGACCAAAAATTACTAAGTAAAATATAGTATAATTTTATAAAGAGGAATATTTCTAATAGAGATAATGTACAAAGAAAAATCCTATTTTTAAAGTAAAAAAAGGCCTGAGCTGATGAGCGCCTGTCATCTTTCTTTTCTTCATCATAGGAATCACTCAATTTAGACTTTTTATGGTACCTTTTGTGCCCCCTACCCCCCTGGCTTTCTCTTCTCTTTTGAGTTAGTCTCACTCTATTGCTCAGTTTGATCTCAAATCCACAAGCTGCCTGCCTCAGTCTCCCAAGTAGCTGGGATGACAGGCATAAATTAACTGAACAGACATTTGTCAAAAGAAGTAAAAAGGGCAAGTGAATATATAAAAATTGTGCAACATCTTTAGCCATTAGAGAAATGTAAATCAAAACAATGTTGAAATTCCATTTAACCCTGATCAGCATGGCTATAAGCACCTGCTTAGGCAAGTACAGGGACAGGGGTTTGACCCTGGGCACTACATGTTGTGCCGGTCCCACCCCCAGGCATGCTGAGCTGGCCACCAAGACCAGAGGTGGTGGTGCACTCCTGTAATCCCGGTACTGGGGAGGCTGAAAACAGGAGGATCATTAAGAGTCCAGGTTGCATAGTGAGACCCTGTACCAAATATATTAAAACAAACAAACAAAAAAACCCCAATGAATGCTGGCAAGGATGGGCAGGAAGGAAACATAAGGTATTGTAACTATTAGGAAAATCAGTATGGAGATTCCCCAAAAATCTAAAAATAGAAATTCTACATGATGCAGTTATCTCTCCTCAAGTATGTTCCTCAGGTCAACCTGAACTACAGAGCAAGACCTTATCTTAAAAAATAGATCAAGATGTTACACATATGCAACAGCTTTCCCCAACAAACACCATTACTCTGTACTACAAACATGCAGTAATTAAAAAATAAATTTTGTAAAAAGCAGAGCTGACCAAAATTACAGTTAAGAAAGTTCAACTTGAAATTTTCCCACAAAAAATCTACTTTTCAAAGGTGTTTGGGGGATACAAAGGCCACCTCAATGTCTAATATGTACAGGGCACTATAGCAGAAGTTACAAAAGATACATTGATTTTTGGTTTGTTTTGGTGGTTCTGGGAATTGAACTCAGGGCCTTGCACGTGGTTGGTGAGTGCCCTACTGAGGAGCTGCATTCCCTGCCCAAATTACATTTTCTGAAAATAGTATCTGCCTTTAAAAAAGCTTATACAAAGTAGGTAAAGTAAGGGTGAAATGAGAAGTACAAAGACAAACTGCACTGTATCAGGGAATGTTTGTACAAGACAAGGCAGGAAACAAGGTATCAAAAATACCAGGTGCCAAGACAAATCACACAAATCGAACAAAATTTCATTATTTAGGAGAAAAAAGAAACCTTTAAAAATAAAATTTCACATTACCTGTTTTTGCCTTGCTGACATTCTAACTCTGACTGCTTCCTCTTGAGGGTGAAGTAGAACTGAACTCTGAGCTACAGTTGTGTCAGATGGAGTCTCATTTATTTCTATGAGAATCCCCAAAACAAAAATTAGTCCCAATAATTTAGAATTTTGACACTACCATCATGTCTTTCTACTCATTTATCACATAAGCTTACTAGTAAAAAGTTGCAGAATCTTAAGACGTGATAAAAAGAAGCACCTTGTTCCTTTCCAGAGTCTATGTGGCCTGACAGGGGCTTATCTTCACTAGTAAGTGGTCCAGACTCAATTGTCAGTATGTCACTTTCCATAACTGTAACAGATAATACCATTTTAATATAATCCTATTATCATTAAGCTTAAAGGAAGAAAAAATAACCAAAAAAATTGCATTCTAATAACCATTTTCTCTTGGTCCACCGAAATATCTTAGTTAAAATCCAGTCATCTTTTTTCCCCCCTTTAATTTTGTCATATTGGGAATTGAACCCACAAAGTCCACATGGACCATATGCCTGGCTTGTTTGAGAAGCAAAGGAATCCAGCTTCTGCAGGACAGTGACTGCCATGGGAAGCGTGGTAGGAAACAGAGTCAGAAAGATGAGGAAGGTAAGAGTAGTGCACGTGTGTGTATGGAGACTATACAGAACTGCGATGCCACTGCAGTCACACTGGGTTTTATTGAGTGAAACTGGTAGTTATCAGAGGGCTTCACAGGACTTCTTCCTGTGTTTTCACAGGATCACTCAGTAAAAAGACTCTAGGAGGGAGACACAAGAGCTGTACAGACTACTATAAGCATTTATACTAGAATCAGCACAGTGGTACATGCCTATAAGCCTACATTCTCATCAGAGTAAGACAGGACAATTCCAAGATTGAGTAGCCTAGGCAACTTAGTGAGCCTGTCTCAAAATAAAAATAGAAAGGGCTGGGGAAGTGGCTCAGTATTGGAGGGCCCCTGAGTTTGATCCTATACCACACACAGAGAAGGAATCTGTGCTATAAAACAAATACAGCTTAAAAGAGGATGGTATATGGTGAGAAATGATTGGGCTTTAGATACATTTTGAGGCTAGGACCAACTGGATATGCTGCTGATTAGATATGAGGTGAGAAAAAATGGAAAGCAAAATGACCTAGACTTTTTTGGACTGAGAAAAGGAATTACAATATCCCCAGTTTTCAAAATTGTGGAAGATTGTAAGAAAAACAGGTATAGCACTACCAGTTCAGTTCTGGACAAACTTAAGATGTTACTGAATCATGGGACGGTGGCACAAACTGGAGTTACAATCTCAGCACTCAGGAAGCTGAGACGGGAATATGAAGTTTGGCATTCTCACAGTAAGACCCTGTCTCACGTAACTAAATGGGGTTGGGGGAAAGATGTCATTAGATATACAAGGGAAGATGTCAAATAAATGGTTAAGTAAATGATCTGAATTCAAAGGGACAGCAGACCTACACACACACACACACACACACTCTGGAAGACACTGGTATACAGTGATGCAAAGTATGACATTAGAGATTAACTAAGGATATTTGATACAAAGAACAGATTTGAGGTGAGCTCTGGGGACAATGGCTAGTGTTTGTGAAAAACTGAATAACCAGAAAAGGAGACCATGAAAAAGGAATCAACAAGGAGGTAGCCCCAGAGTGGCATCACAGACCAAGTGAGGGTCTACTTCAAGGCTTTGTGGTGCACAGCCAAACACAAGCCCTAAGTCACTTCTCTCAAAAATCTGCTAGCAAAACATTTTCATACAATTATAAACACATCTTTAAAAGAAAGCCAAAATATAAAACTTAAAACAAATCGAAGAGTTACATTCTTATAATTCTCAATTGCTCAAATATAATCAAAGGAAATATTATTGGTATAATCTTTGTAAATTCTAGAAATATATTTAATAGTCTACTTAACAACCAAAGCTACTCTTTTTTTTTTTTTGCAGAACTGGGGATTGAACTCAGGCCCTTGCACTTGCCAGGGAAGCGCTTATTCCACTGAGCCATCTCCCCGGCCCCACCAAAGCTACTTTTACAAATTAACAAAGAAGGGGGCCAGCCAAATAACTCAGCGAATTAAAGTGCCTGCAAACAGGCACAGGGCCTGGGGGTTCAATCCGTGGGCCTGCCACGTCGGCTAGGTCCCTGGGGCGCTGAGACAGTGATTGAGACTGGGCATGGTGGCGTGCGCCTGTGATTCCAGCTCTTGGGAGGCTGTAAATAGGAGGATCACTACAAATCTGATGTAGTAGTGAGTCCCTGAACACCCTATAGACCCTTCCCTCAAAAACAAAAAAATTAACAAAGAAACCAAGTCATGGGTGGAAATGGGAAAGAAAAACAAAATACACCTAGCATAAGCCACAAATAGAAATTCTTTCAATTCAGAAATTCTTCAAAGTTCTTCCTAAGGAAATAAAACTGGGCAAGAACTTCATCAGAAATATCCCTAACAAACAAATGAACAAAAGCACAAGCCTAAATTTCCAGTAATAGGGCACTGGTTAATTTTAGCTCAGCAATTACACTGGAATTTATATATATAAATGACTAATAATACTACAGTGAAAGTTGTCTACAAGATTAAGATATTCATTTATCTATTGACTTTAAATAAAAGGACTATGCTTTTAAACTTTTCATTTGTTCTTTGATTTTTTTCAAAAAATGAGTGTGTTTTAAGTAACTAACAGAGACTTATATACTATAAACAAGACTCGGAGAGAATGACCTTGTTCCTCCTCTGTGGATGGCATTCTTTCCTCACTGGCAATTGTTCCAGATTCAATTGTTGGTGCTTTACTCTCAGTTTCACTCACGGTTGTAACCATTTCACTTTCATCTTCAGACACGGACTTAATTGTCCAGAGAGATTTTTGATTTCGAATCTTATTTAATAACCTTTTGAAAAGAACTTTTGAAGGGATCTCTTGGGTCTTTATTGCCAAGGGATCTAAAAAAGGAAAGTAAAACCCCTTATTCAGTATGTATTCACACCAGGTAAACTGTTGTATTTTCATGTTTACTGTTCTAATCACTTGGTTAAAACAAAAGCATCTTTATTTTTGTCAACACTTATAATTTAGCAATAGATACAATGCTTTTGAGTCTGTTCATATTTTCATTACCACGAACAATATTTTCAACTTCAATTCAGAGGTAAAAGTGCCAAAATTCAACTATTTTCCAACAGCATCCATGTAACAGAAAGTATGTGCTTAACAACCTATCATGAGAGTGTTTATCCTGCCTGCTCCATGATGGCAGACCGCACACTCCTACTTCTGGGTAGGGTTAGTACTGGAAATGCGCGCTGCAAGGTCCTGTGCTGTGTGCTACAGAAAATGGTTCCAAACATGGCTCTGCACTTCTGAGCAGGCTGCAGAGGAAAAATTAAAACTAAAAGCAAATCAAATGCTCTTAAATAATTCCTGGCATTAGCTGAGAAAATTTCTTCCACTTATTTTCATAACAAGCCCTTCAACAATCAAAAAAAACAATACTTCTTCCATATGGGCTGATGATGAACACTAAAACTCAGAACTACTGATTCTCTATGGGTACAAAATGGCAAATATGCAGTCCTTTGCCTTAAGAAATATAATCTAAGAGTATCTCTAGGAAGATATGGAAAACTGGCAAAATGTATGTCTTCATGACCCACATTTTTACAGATGTCTACAACCTACAAAGGATAACATACACAAAATCTAAAAGCTGCAGCTTAATGGATTTCACAGATATTTCCATGCAACATCATTTCTGAGATCACTATGTGGAACACTTCAGCACCTGGGTTTTCTCACGTCCCTTCCTAGTCAGTACACTCTAAAGATAGCCCCTATTCTATCTTTTTTTTTTCTTTTGGTGGTACCAGGGATTGAACTCAGGACCTTGTGCTTGCCAGACAAGCACTTATTCCACTGAGCTATCTCCTCGGCCTCCTGCTATTCTTTTTTAAAAAAGTTTTATTTGGAGACGAGGTCTTGCTAAGTTTTTCAGGTTGGACTCAAACTTGCCATCCTCCTGCCTTAGCCTACGAGAGTGCTGGGATTGCAGACATGCACCACCACACCTTTGTAACCCACTCATTTTAAATAAGCATTAAATGACAATATTTTAAAATAACAACTTAATAAACAGTGGAATTCCTAGCCTGGCTTTTTTTTTTTTTTGAAGAGATAGTCTCCTTATGTTGCTCAAGTTTGCCCTTACTTCCTGAGACCAAGTAATCTTCCTGCCTCAGCCTCTGAAATTGTTAAGGCTTACAGAAATGTACCACAATGCCCAGCTTCCTAGGTTTTTATGAAAAAAATCAAGACTTGGCAATACCAACCCAGCAAGTCTAAAAGGCATCAGCAGTGGCTGAAAAACAACTGTTCCTTTAAGCAAGGCCAGACTTCTAATTCTGACAACTAAAAAAGCTGGCTGAGATGATAAAACATCTTTTTAAAGACACTGCTGATATGGCAAGAAGACATTCTTGAGGAGCCAGCAAAGTTTTTCAGTGGGAACTGTGGAAGACAGACAAGTAATACTTAAACTATTTTCCATGAAATTTATGTGAAAGTCAAACCTTACACTTGTTTAAACAGCAATGTGGGCATAGTAGAAGGAAAAGATATAGCCTTGAGCTTCCACAAAGGAATCAAATAGGAGACCTACAAAAAGTTGGACCCTGAAGAGCTGCTTGCTTCTACAGTGAAGGATGCAGACTGTAAGACGCCTGAGCAGTTTTTATAAAGGTAAAGAATTCACAGATATGGAGGGAAAAAAAGAAAAAAAAAAAAAAAAGAAAATTCAATGAAAGCGGAAATACTAGAGGGAAATGTTAAAGGTAAACTGAATATGGTACCTTCACCAAGATAAAGAAGAAGTAGGGTGCACAGAGATGATGAAATCTTGTTGGATTCTGAATTTTAAGCTAAGTGAAAAAGTTCAGGAAGTTGGAGATAGAAATGAAGGTAAGACATCAGTCTGTGCTACTCATCCCAATATGTGAAAATAAGGGGAAAAAATTGGATTTCTGATGATATGATGAAGTGTTTTAAAAACTAATGCAGACCCTGCACACGAAATGAATATCTAACTTAACCTAAAGATCTCCAGACTATGGAACTTCCTTCTTATGTATACGAAACAAATCTGTAAGAATGGAAATACAAAAACAGTGTTTCCTCCTTGCAACACTCCAATTAGCATATCACTATGTGCACTTCCTAACTGGTGGCCAGGCAACTTCTGTCTGTGAGTACTGTAATATTTGGTTTAGAAGGGGCTTTTACCGTCTGTTTCACTAGAACATATTTCAGCTTCTGTCAATGGAAGGTTCTCAGCTTCATCTGTATTTTCTTGATCGACTGAAAGGTCCAATTCTTCATCTTGGAGCTGATCAGTTACAGCAGGCAAAGGTTCTGGTTCAAGATGCAAGATGAGGTTTCCTTTCACTGCTTAATAAAGAAATACAGAGAAATATTTCCATTCTAGTATAATCATAAAAAACTTTAAGGCCATGATAGTTTCTATAGCTAAATTACGAAGGCCACTTCCAAATTGAAAACTCATTTCAAAAACAACTCGTTTATTACTACAAATGTTATTTCCCCACCAAAACATTGAAAAGCACTGCTGAAAATCTATGGAAAACATCTTACTCCCGTCTGCATTGTACATATCTTCAAATGCAAACTCCAGCTCTCTCTGCCAGTCTTCCTTCATCTCACTGCGTTTGTACGGAAGCTCGACTAGCTGCGGTGGCATCTGTGCTACTGTCTGCTTCCTGTGTGCCAGGTCTTCTTGTTGTAGCTGCTTCAGTTCTTTCATTAGTTTCTCTTGATTCTTCAAGAATAAAGAGATTAATAGAGCTGAATCAAACCAGGCAGTACATTAATGTGGGGAAACCATGAGCAACAGTGCCTAAGACCCATCTCCCCATTACTGGTTCTGCTACAAGACAAACTGCAGTAATTAATTTATCCATTCAATAAATATTTGCTGAATGCCAGATACCACAAGTGCTATGGGCAGAAAAAAACCTCAACCCTAACCTGGCAGTGAGACCAACAAGCAGGAACATTGCGGTACTGCTATGAAAGGAAGGTGGTCACCAGCCAGCTACAGTTCTCCTTCATAAAGAAAAAGTCATGATGATACTTTCAATTTATGTTGCCACAGCTCCTGAATGTTCTGTGGTCAAGTTTTCCACATGCCTGTTCCAGGTAAGCAACTATGACTCAACAGTATTGTCACTTCGTACTTTTTGAGACAGGATCTCGCACCATAGTTTAGGCTCCCGGCAATCCTCTACCTCAGCCTCCTGAGTGCTGGGACTACAGGTGTGCACCACTGCATGTCTTCTTTCATATTCTTAGGACTCCCAGGACTCCAGTGGATCTATGGGGCTGGTGCATTGCTTGCCCAGAACATAGGGACCCCATGTTTAATCCTGAGCACTAAAAAAAAAAAGGTAGGGGTAGAGGGTAGGATCTGCTTGCATCCTCGTAAGCTTAGAATATAACCAATACGATAATGTATACAGCATTTTAGTGAGGTTGTGGAACTGAATTTTGGTGGTAGAGGGTAAAGAGAAAGAAAGAGACCCTTCAGTCCTCAGAATGAAGATTTAATCAGATAAAAGTGGGTGAAGGAACAGTACAAGAAAAAATAACTGGAGCACAGAAGTGTGTTGATGAAGAAATGGGGAATTCGATAAGAACAGGGCATGGAGAGCAAGGAAGAGTAAAGAAGACAAAACTGGAGGCAGATAGAGGCTAAATGCTAGTTACTATAGATCCCAGTAGGCAATATGGTCTCAGAAGGTAACAGGGTCTGCAACCTGAAGTTTACACAGGGAGGTCTGTTAGCAGGGAGATTAGGTGGCTTTCATTCTTATGTACGAAACACTAAGTTCACAGAAGTCAGAGTCTGCACACGTTTGTCAAGTGATGAACACATCGGTTCTACTTTTGTGAAGTTTTAAATATTCTGCCATTGGGAGATGAACTTTTGTGGCCATGCTCTGAAACAGAATTAAATTATGAACAAATTCATTTTATTTATATTAAGATTCATCTCAGCAGATTAGCTGCAGCATTATAGGACTAAGCATACTATTCTAGTTCACTAAGTTTGAACAGATTACTCTACTTGTATTCTTACAATGAACCATACCACTAACATGAGCGTATGAAATTCCACATACATTTCTAAATGCATTGACGCTGATAAAAACAATGAAGCAAATAGAACTCCAGCGAGAGAGTGTTAAGTAACTTGCCTAAAATCAAACACAGGTAAATCCAGGCAATCTGGGTGTGGAGCCCACATTTCCATACCCACTAGACACTAGTACTTTTATGGAAGAAAGTGTCCAATTTTTGATTGTTTTTCTTCATCTTTTTTTTTTTTTTTTTTTTTTGGTATTTAGTACAGGATCTACAGGGTCTCACTACTAGATTGGGCTCAGAGTGATTCTGTTTTCAGCCTCCCAAGCACTAGGATTACAGGTGTGTGCCACCACGCCCAGCCTCAGTCGCTGTCTCAGCATGGGGGGTGGGGTGGGGTGGTGGGCAGGCCTAGCACAGCATGCCGGGGATCGAACCCCAGCTGCTGCACTCTGCCTAAGCAGGCACTTTAGTCCGCTGAATCATCTGGCTGGCCTATGATTGCTTTTTATGTGTACATTTCTATAGATTTAAACCTTAGATGAAACTTTCTCTCACTCTTTTTTTTTTTTTTTTTTGCAGTACTGGGGATTGAATTCAGGACCTTAGATGCAAATTTCTAATAAACTCAAATATTCAGTTATTTTAATTACAATTCACTTATAGTATATGGAAGTTAAAAATTAAGGTCATAACTTTATTCAAGGTATACAAATGAAATTCTATAAACATTTAATTTCCACAGGAATACTTAAAAACTAATTCCTAAAATGAATGTTTAAAGTACCCAAATATATTAAATTCAGAAAATAAAAATGAGACTTATAACAAGATGAATCATTTTTATGTCAAGCCTAAGGAAAAATACTAACTGAACAAAAAAGTGACAGAAGCGAGGCTAAAACTACCTATTTTGCAGGTCTACAACAGACACTTTTTCAAAGCTCCTTGATAGCAATGATCATGCCTCTACTTTCACCATACACTGCAAAGCCCCTAAGTGCTTTGCTCCATAAACACATAGATGTGAACCCCCAAGTCTGTGGAGCACGAATGAAATACAAATATAACTATTAAACTAAAGCAATTAATCTCATGCCATTTTTTGGACTAACCTTGAAAACATTCATTAGTGAATTTTAAGACTAGTGATACACTGTGAGAATAGTATAACCAACCTGAGAAAGGCAAAGGAAGCTGACACACTTGAAATCACAGAGACAGAGAACATATGTAGCATTCTGCACACCCTCTACTCCACACCCATTCACTCATCAGTTCTGCAATGCCATCGAAGCCTACCAGGAGTAGGTATAGTAGAATTTAATTCTTACTTGGGCCAAATGGATCTTTTTCATGGCTTGGGAGCCCCGTACATGTGCCTTTTCAAGCTGTTCCTTTCTCTCTTGTGCGGCCTGTTTTTGCAGTTCTTCCAATCGTTTAGCTTCTTCTTCGGCAGCCAAATGAGCATCTGGCTAGCAGTCAGTCAACAACATTTTAGAAGTTTTCAATACAGTGTTTAAAAAACTAAAAAACTAAACTTTAAAACCATGTTTTCTACTTCTATAGACATAATTACATGGAAAGAAGTTAATTTTTTTAAATACAATTATCAACAGAATGTATCTACAGAAAGGATCAAACTGTTAGCAAAGTTCTGTAAGTTGCTCACCTCAAACTGGACCAGGTTTTACTCATGCAAACAGACTGGTAAGCACCCTCAGAGAATGTTAAGAAAACACAAGTGTCGGAGGTCATATAAGTAACCAAAGGGAGCACGAAGATTGTCTCTGGCTTTTAGCCAACATCTGTTGCTTGGTTTCAGTCTGAATTAAGGCTAAAATATTTAGTTTAATATAAATTCTGTCTTCCTGGATTTCATGCATAACCCATGATTATGCTATTGTATCTCACTGACATAAAAATAGTGAAACACCTGGACTTCCTCCATCTGAACATTCACTTTCAATTATAGATAGCCAACTGAGATAAGCAGGAGTGAAATGTCATTACATATTTTGTATGTTGAAATTTTTTTTTTTTTTTTCATTTTAAGGAAGGGTCAGGGCTGGGGAGATGGCTCAGTGGAATAAGCGCTTCCCTGGTAAGCACAAGGGCCTGAGTTCAATCCCCGGTTC